ATCACAGATAAATATACCAGCTTGAAAGGGCACCTGGAGCACATCTTGAACCAGGATCAGGTCTGGGTGCTGGGGGGGGTGGGTGGGGTGAGGATGTGGCCTCTGCCATTGGGAACAGGTTCTGAAACTGGCCCTGTGCCAGCCGCTTTGCACGCATGATCTCCTTGACTCTTGCCTCCTCTTACAGCAGCCCAGAGAAATTAAGTCATTCGCTCAAGTTTCAGAGCCAGAAAAATTCAAGAGCCTGGATGAGCTTCGAACACAGCCTGATTTCCCTGCTGTGCTACACGCCCCACCTCCAGCCCTCCTTCCCTGCTGCCCCAGTCCCCTGGGTGGGCAATGTCCCCAGTGCTGTGGGGGAGCTTCAAGGATCAGATGGGTGTCCCCCTCAGGCGGTAGCTGGAGGTCTCGAATGCTGAAAAGAAAAGGTGAGGAGTAAAAGAAGAAAGTTATGGAAGCACATAAGCGATCCCGTTTTCCCCAGTGTGGGTTGTCACCTGCAAGGAGAAATCCGAGGCTGGGGAGGAAGGCTGGAGCAGGAGGGGAGAGGAGGGAGAGTCACAGGGCCTCCTGCTCCTCCGCCCCCACCCCCCACTCTCGTGGCCCTGCCTCCTCCCCTCTGTCTGGAGGCCCTACCTTCCAGGTTGGCCGTGTGAAGCTGGGGGTGGGGTGGGAGGAGAGAAGCAGAGGGTAGAGTGAGGGCAGGAAAGAAGGATGATGAAAGGGTGGGGTACTACGGAGGAGAGACCCTGTCTTTGTCTGCTCCCCTTGGCCAGATGCAAGAAAGCCAGGTCGCTGGCTCCCCAGGTTACCTTTCTCAGGCTTCCTGGGGGCCACCCTCAGTCCAACATGGTGGCACTTCCTTTGCGGACAGGAAGTGCTATCATAGTAATGGGCAAACCAACCAGGAGATGGGACTCTGTGGAAGATGCCCCCAGCCCTACACACCGGATCTGCCACCAGGCCCCAGCGGGTGGTCTACCTCTCTCTGGACATAGAATCCAGGTTCCAGGACAGGAAAGGGGCAGGAGTGGGGACATGTGAGGGTTGAGGGGAACAACAGAAAGGAGAGGGAGTTCAGAGAGGAAGGGTGGTGAGTGAGAGGGAAGAACAGGCGTGTAACGGGATGAGAGAAGACGGAGGTAGAGGAATTAGGGGGCAGTGGGGTGAAGGTTGAGGGCGAGGAGAGATGTCAGTATACCAAACAGAGTATGGGGGTGTGGCCTTGACGTGTATCAGTGAGCCAGGGGCACGGGAAGCAGTAGGGCAAGTGGGACAGGGTGACAGGAGTTGGCGAAGGCGTCCCATGGAAAGGGACAGTCTTTGGGGTGGGGGGTGGGGGGTAGATGGGGCAGGTGCTGAGTGTGGACAAGGGTGTCTGAGAGAAGAGCACGTGTGAGGGAGAAAGCAGGCCAGCTGTCCCCTTGTACCTGGCCCCGACTTGGCCGTATGTGTGTGGGTGTGTTGGGTCAAGGTGTCTCCTCCTCACTCACTTCTGGGAAGGGGAAGGGCCCACGCCCGCACAAGGAACAAGATGACTCACTGTAGGGGACACAGTCGTACTGCACCTCCAGGTACTTGTAGGTCCCGGGACAGGGGTCAGGAAAGGCGTCAGAGCCAGCAACCACCACGCACTGGGTGCGGTTATTACACCTGCGGAGGAAAGACAGGGAGCTAGGAAAAGACAGGCTTCGAACTGGGGGGGCGCCGGCTCCCAGGTCAGGAGAGGAATGGACACTCCCAAACTGAGGAGGAGCCATGGAGACCAAGGCCAGGGGCCATTCGTGGGCATTGTTCTCTGTTTCCTGCCTGTTCTCTCTTTTCCACCAGACAGGGTTCTTCTGCTCTCAGCCCCGGCACGGCATCAAGCTCAGGTCTAGGCCTAGAGCATCACCCCATAAACTGCTTCCCCAGCCACCCTTCATCACTTCCATCCTATCTGGGTGTCACTGGTGCCATCAAATCCTTGGGAATTTTCCTTAAATTGACTGTAAAGCCTCTCTTTTGTTCACAGAAGAGTAAGACGTGTGGTATCTTTGCAAAGATAAATGCTATTAATGAAGTGCCCACTGTCTGTCTGTGTCCACCTCTTTGGACAGCGCTGCTGTGAAGATCTGCAACCAGGACGGGGGCAGAGTCCATATCTCATGGTGAAACCATTTTTGTTTTTTGTTTTTNCTCTCTGAGATGTGGGAGTGGGGCAGGAAGGAGGGGAGCAGCTCGGAGGGACCCAGCCCCACCTCCCTTGAAGGGGGGTGCTCCACAGACCACCGTAATTTCAAGGCAGAAGCGATCGGAAAGGATGTCTCACCCAGCACTGCCCCTTCTGCCAGCCTCAGAGCTGTCAACTTCCCAAAACTTTCAGAGGAGGAAGCCACCATCCCCAACATCCTGCCCTTCAAGCCCTTCAGCTGCAGCCCCTGCCCTCCCCCCAATGATAGACAGCCCTACCTACCAGAGCTCTCCCACTCCCGTGCTGAAGGTTAAAGCCCCAAGAAATTACGGTGCTCCTGGAAGACCCAGCCTACACCGCCCCCGCCCTCCCCCCTGGTCCTCTAACCACAACAGCCCAGAAGAAACCCTGACTGCAGCTTCGCAAGTATTTCAGAACCAGAGAAAAAATCGCTCCCCCACCCGCACTCCCCACACCATGAGGCCCACCCCCACCCCCTTGCCCCCAATTTGGCATGATGCCCTCCCAGGGCTAGGGACAGCTCATATCCCTCCCCAGGGCTGGGCCCCAGCTGGTTGAGGATGAGGGTTGGGGGTGGGGAAACTGGTGCTCTGTGCTCCAAAACAGCTCTGGGCCTTGGAAACGCCAAACCAGAAGGAACTTAAGCCACCAGGAGCCCGAGGGACAGGATGAATCTGCTCCCAGAAAGGAAAACAAAGGTGTGCTTTCTATCCCGCCTCCCCCAACGGGAAACAAGTTACCAAAGTTGGGACAGGAAGAAGACAGGAGAAAGACAGCTCACCCAGTGCCCCCCACCCCCGCCCCCACTTGGGAGCCAGGGAAGGGAGTCCCCACCCGCCCCTGATGCTTACAAACTTCTCCTGAAGGAGGCAAAAGAAGTATGAGAGACGGGGGCCAGGTCCCCCGTAAGGGCCAGGGACTAGGAAGCTGGGACAGGGAGAGATAGAACAGAAAGAGAGAGAGAGAGGCAGAGAGAGACAGAAAGTCCTGCCCGTGCTCAGAGAGGAGCTTCCTCGGGTGTCTGGAGGGTGGAGGTGCCCGTGGCTGGACCAGGGCTGGCCCCACCGGGAGGACACCCGGGGTGGGGGCTAGCAACTGGACCCAGTAGGGGGTGGGAGAAGAAGGGGCCAAGGGGGGAGGGCGGGTCACATAAGTACGGTACAGGTAAAACAAAGTGTGAGTTAGGGGTTAGCATTGGTAACAGTGCGTTTACCTTTCTGCTCCACTTCTACTTTAAGCATCGGAAGAGAGAGAGAAAACAAATTGAAAAAAAAATGTGCAAGAAAAAAGAGAAAAAAAAAAAGAGATTAAATTGCTTTTGTTTCTTTTCTGGCAACACGCCCCCTTTTCCTTTCTTTCCTCACTTCCGGTTCCCCAACCCCAATGTAGCATCCACTCAGCCCCCACCCCCCAAGTCCCTTCCTCTGGGGTAGGGTCAGGGTGAGAGGTCGTTGGGGAGACAGTCACAGGGAGGGGGAGACACGCGGGAGGACAAAGACCAAGAGTGACACGGGGTGAGGCGGGTACAGGCAGGCAGGCTAACCGTGCCCTCATATAGGAGTGGGCACCCTCAGTGCAGCAGGGCAGGGAGGGGTAGCTCCAGCTGAGAGGCAGGCTCTGGTTAGGGGAATGCCAGGGAAGGAGGGGGAAGAGGAACCACTGAGATCCCCTCCCACCCTGTCTGCTGCCCTCCTGTCAGAACCAGGGGCCCAGGGCAGGCGGTTCAGTGCCTCCTACGGCCTGGGCACCGGGAGCTAATAGAACATGCTGAACTCCTTTCCTGTCTGTGCTGGCCCTGCCCGAGTCCAGCTGGGTTCCCCCAAGCCCTCACAACCCAGAAAAAGCCAACACAGAGAGAGGGTGGCAGAGTTGGACACAGAATGACTGAGAGGCAGACAGGCAGAGCCCCCCCGGGCCTCAGAGAGCTGGAGTGGGGAGACAGAGGCAGAGAGGTCAGCGGCTGGGGTGGGGAGACATCACAGATGGGGCAGGACAGCAGGTGGGGGCACAGACACGCTCCCACGCTCCCCCAAGACTCAGTTTCTCTGCGGAGTCCCGCCCCCGGGGGGCCCCAGAGCCAGGAGCTCCACGCCACCCGCTGCCTGGTGGGCTGGCGGCACCTGGGGGAGGAAGGGGGCACGGTTAGACTGTGCTCAGCTGCAAGGCAAATCCAGTGTTAGTCGGGCCTGTCCAATGTGTACTTGTGGGGGGAGCCCACATAGTCACTGCCCCCTACACATGCATGGTAGCCCCTGAACCATCACCCCCGACCCGCCCACACCCACACCGGCACTGGCATCACCCCAGCCTCTGAAGCCCAGGGCAAGGATGGATACCCAGGCTGCACACTCTAGGGATGGATACTCTAGGCTCTGCACTGCGGCCTCTCAGGAACCTCTGACCAGGGCCTGAGAGGTGGAAGCTGGGAGTTTTACAGGGTTTG